TTAGTTGCACGCTGTCCCCCAAAGTACAGGAATAAGTCTTGTCCTCATGTCTTAGACCTTGAACCTCAAGACCCTTTGAGATCAGCCCAGATCACGGCCGCCCTTCCCCGTGAACTGCAGAGACATCCGCGGTCCCCACCCAGAAGAGGGGAGGTGCCCGGGCACAACCAGCCCCAGCAGGGACGGTGGCTGGCTTGCCAGAGGCCTGACAATCCATCAGAGCAGTTTGAGGAGTGTCGTAAAATGTTCCCTGCAGCTTCAGCTATCCCAGAGATAGGTCTGGAGAGGGATCTTTATACAGTATGAAGGAAGGACCAGGAAAAGACCAAGAAAGAGAATGTAAATCTTCAGATATTGATAATCTGGAAAATATATCGATCCCATTAGTGACTGTAGGGTAAATATGCAGGAAATGAAACTCGGTACTTCTGCCTCATCATTGCTTGTTCATATCCCAGCAACACACACAGAGGTATATTTATCCTCTCCTGTGGACAGCCAGTTGTGTGGACACCACTGCGGGAAGATGTATGGGAGGCAGGGTCAGTGACCTCCATACATGCCCCTGGGGCACGGGAGGCTGAGTGCTGTCCCTCCAAGGACTGCACCTTTGGCTCTCTCCTGCCATTGCTTTCCATCACTAACTCCTCCCCTGCGTTTGTTCAGGACCCTCTTTTCAGCACCCCTGTGATCACAGAATTTTTTTGCTGATTCCCCGCTAGGTTGTCTGCTATGAAGATAGCACTTGGTCACAGTTGCTGGTTTACTGGGGGAGCGAGAGACCTCTGTGTCTCTGTGGGAAGAGGCCATGTGGGAAAGGGCCCTCTAGCACTCTGTCTGCCTTAAAAGTCTTGCTTTCAGTTTGGAAAGGAACTTGAACTAAAACCACTGAAAAGCCATCCAGAAAATATTGACTGTACATTGAGTTTTGTGATTGTTCCCACATCCCTTGTAGTTCTCAACCGCAGCTCCGTACTAGAGGCTAGACGCACATGGTGGGCATTTTTCCTCTCACTAGCAGTGGGATAGCAGGAACGCGAGCTTCCCTTTCAAGTCCAAAATCAAAGTATTGACAAACAGTAAAAGAGGAATGTGAATTTTGAGGTTGTGTCTTCCCTCAAAACAAGAAAACTGTCTAACTCCAATGCTTTTCCCAATACAGTTTTATTCTCACAAATTTGTGTTGTTTTCCTTTCCTCTCCTCCACACAGGAGCCTCCATACAAGCCTACGTCTCTCTCACATTTTAATATGCTTCTCATGCTATCTGTACAGAAACATTTCAGGCTCTTTGTACTCAGCACTTCATTTCTCAGCCATGTCTTTTCAAGAACTGGCAGCCTGCAGGATAACTTTAAAAAGAATTTATTTCATATTGCAGCAATCCTGTATACTGGAGCTGTCTTGAACCTCTCCTGCTTTCTTCTGGTGCCACACTGTGATAGTGATCTTGTTTCTGTCTTCTCACAGGTGCCTGGTTTGCTCGCAGGCCAGCAGGAACTATTCTACAGTTCGCAGCGCGGGTGAGCAGATGGGGGGGGGGTGCAGCAAAACAGCCCGTGGAATTTCTGAACAGACCCCTCGCTCGCGTTGTCATTTTTGATTTGCAGGGGACTGAAGTCAGATCATTCTTCTGGCATTTTATTTCTATGTTCCTGTTCTTCTATTGCTGTTTTTTTTAAATAACAATTATTCTGGTTTTACTATTTAAATAACAAATGCAAGTGTTTTGCAAAGTTTTGACTTCCTGAAGAGGGACCTTCCCCTTTGTAATCTGCTTTTCAAAATGTGCCAAGTCATCCCTCCCTGGGCAAGTTTCTGTTTCAGTTTCCTCTTGCATTTCTGATGCTGGGTTTCCACAGAACAGGAGAGTTTCGGGTTTCTGTTTTTTAGTCATTTCTCTTGCATTTTTTTTTTTTCCCCTGCCTAAGGCTGAGAAAGGAGTTATTTTACACTGCTCAGGACACAGCCTTGTCGTTTGGGGTAAAGAGGCTGGTCATGGCAAGCGTGCAAAATGCAGACCATAGAGTAAAGATACCAGAATTGTATTTCAGCGAGCAGCTACGGCAGTGACAGTCGTCTTGCTTTTCAGCATGAGACTCTGCATGGCCTGTCCTTCTGAGAATGAAAGGTGAGAGTGACAGGTGAAACAGTGCTAATGTAACCTGCTCGGTATGATTTTCCTGTGCAGCCCTAGTTAGAAAATGAGGCCAGAAGCAGGAGGCAGTGGAAAGCTGGGTGTGTTACTGTGGGTCGGCAGAACTAAATCACTTTCGGTCCCTGGTCCAGGTACTTTAAACTTGATCAGATATCTCTATGCCGCACTGCTGACTGGAGTGTAGACATACACACTCCTTTGCAAAATCAAAGGCACAATATAATCAGTCCTCTTATTTGTTGCACAGTGTTCCAGTTAAGAAAAAAAATTATGACGTATGCTAACCACTAGAGTTAATGGCAGTCTGGGTTCAGCCTTGCAGACATCTCCTAAGGAGAATATGACTCATTGCTCAGGGACTTTTTTTTTTTTTTAAACCATCTTCATTATACTGAGGTTGGGGAATTCCGGTGTGATGAAAGAAAAATTTCTCATTCTATTTCACTGCCCCAAATTTATGAGGTTTGGTACCTCCATTTTAAGATGGATGCAGATCAGTTATACTGACTGACCCACTGAAGCCCTGACAGGTGGACAACCTTAGTTTCTGGTGGCCAGATGCCTCACTCACACTGAGAGATAAAGCCAGAAGCCAAGAAAAGCCAGAGTTCAAGTCAAGCACCTGCCAACATACCTTTAAGCTACATTTATGCCTTCCTGGGTGGAACATGGTACAGGGAGCAGCCTGTCTACCAGGGCTTGTGAGAGCATGGACCTTGCCTTCCTTCCTGTCTTGGCTGTGCTTCTACATAACTGCAGCCTAGGAGGGATGGCACAGCCTACACCGCTGCTGTGCTGCTTTTCGGAAAGGCAGACGTTTTATTCTCCTGTATGTGTGGAGCCCGAACAAAACATGGCAATGAGGAACACACTGTCACAGCGTATCAGATCTGTACACAGATAGCACAGACACAAGTAATTTATACAATGCTATGCCTTAATCAGTCCACAGGTGCGCAAGTCTGGTGCATGGGCATTACACCATCCAGCTACAGCAGCCTGAAGGTTTTCCTTTGAAAAGCAGCACAGTGTGGGGATTTTGGCAGTATAGTAACGGCAAGCTGATTGATTAGACACTTAGGAAATGCAGAAAGGTTAGAGGCAAGAGGCTCCAAAGTGGGGTGGAAAGTTTTTCTGAGCACTTAGCATCTATGTGGTGCTTGATACCTGGGGAAGAGCTGTGCAGCCTAAACCAGGTCGGGGCTTGGCAACAGAACATGCTCTGTGTCCTTCAGACCTTTGATGGGTCAAGTCTATGAAAGGCTTAAAGTTTTTGAAGCTAATCTAAGTCCTGCCTTTCCTTTCAGGCTTATGCTTGATGCCATACACAGATTTCTAGCTGTTTTCAAGGGCCACATGCTGCCCTTGCAGGCACCTCAGCTCTAGCAACGTGACCTTCTGGAGCAACCCCATGCAGCTGTGGGCGCCTGGTGTTGCCTGGGGGGTGGATTGCCAGCAGCTGCCACCCTGCTGCCAGACCTGCCCTGCCCTGCCCTTTCCACACCCTCGGGGCCAGGTGGCAGTAACTGGACCTTACCCCGCAGACCAGCACGCCCTGGCTGGCAGGTGGGAGCAAGCCCAGGCAGATCTCCTCATGTTTTGGCTGAGTCTTGACACTGCCTGAAGATGCTCTCTAGGGAACTGACAGCAAAGCCAAAGAAGAAAGCCATCCTGCTTACTGTGTGACCTGGAAAAAAATCAAACCTTTCCACTGAGGTCTCCTCTTCTGTTGAAAGATTTTGTGAGACTTTGCATAAATGGGTGCGTGAGCAGGAAAGGCCTCGTTGCAAAACAGCCAGCACTATTGGTTCTTTGAAGTTAGGAGCTGAGCCCTCTTCCATCACAGAGCACAGAAAGGTAAGGTGTTTTTTTTTCAGGAGAGTGATCTCCCTTTTTGTGATTTACTAACCTGAGTAAAAGAAAACTTAAAAATGACATCTATAGGTTGCACGATAAGAAGGAAAGACAGAAGTCATGCACTATGTGGATTTTTTTTTTTTAATGACAATGTTTTCTTGTATCAGTTCCTGCATTAGAAAAGCTAGCGTTGCACACTTGCTTATGGAGACTTTATAGCTTCTGCAGGTTGCCTTCCAAAAATCATGGTTCTGCTGTGCTGCTTCAGCTCCTGCTTCTTTGAAGGGTTTTAGCATTAGAAAATGCTTGGAATTATTGCAGAGAACAAGGGAAATAATAATTATTACTTAGCACTGGAAGCTTTTGCATAGAAAACTTGCACATATATACACATAAATATATACACACATCTACAAAACTCAGGATAGTCACACACACAGGTGCTCTTATACAAAGGAGAAACCCTATTTACAACAGAGTAGAATTTATTTACACAGCAACACCTCTATTAAAAATTAATCAGGTGTATGTTATATAATTTTTTTTTTTGTTCAAGTATTCTTCCTGGTATACTTCACAGACTCTTAACACCAGTTTTCACTTTGAAAAATGCAATATCCCACAATTTTAATGTAAGCATAACAATCAATTAAGTAATGCAGGACCATACATTTAGATTAAACCTTTTCTTCAAATAATGACTACTACTTTCTTCTTGTAGTGAATCCTATAGCTGGGCTCTTATATTTTACCTTTTAGTAAATAAGCCATAAAACTTCTCCTCCCAGTTCTTAACAACCAAAAAAAAGCTAAAACTTTTTTTAAAGGAAAGCTGTTGCTACAAAAATAACAATTATTTCTTGTTCATATTATAACTTCCTTGAATCAATCAGAACTGCCAATGAAAATGGCATTTAAAAGCTTTGTTATTTACATTATTAGAAAAATACTAATTCAGTCAGAAATAATTTTCAAATGACTCCATGCTATGTCTCTTCCAAACTACCAGAATAGGTTTTACTTAGCTCAGCACTATCATCATAGGAGTTTCTACCTTCCTGAGTGCAGGTTTTGCTTTGCTCAGTGTCATCATTATAAGACTGTCCCCCTTCTTGACAGCTGGAAACAGCTGCCTTCAATTTTTCCTCTATTTTATCAGCTGCAGCGCACATTTTAAACTCTCTCAGGCTCCTTATTAGGGTTCCATAGGCTCCTTTTATCCCATGTCTTTGATACCAGACTTGAAACAGCTTAATCTTCTGTTCAGATGTATCACTAACATAATCCCGAACAGTTTGATCTATGACAGGTTCTGGTACTTTGTGATTACGAACAAATGTCTTGACTTCTTGGAGTGTCATCTCCTCCACAATACCAGCAACATGGCTGCTCAGGTCAACATCTAGAAGCATAAAAGGAAATTAATGCTCTTGGCACTTATATCTTACTGGTTTTCATCACCTGCGCTCAGAGTTGATACTTCTCCTATGCAAAATAGATTAAGTTTCAGGTATTCATGACTCAGTATGTCTTATATGTGATTTTCTACAATATATAACGGGTCTGCTTTTACATGTTCCTACCAAATGCTAGGTAATTCAAATATTTCGGGTTGCATCCATATTGCTTTCTACCACTTGAAATAGAATCTCAGTTCCCTCTGTTACCTATTCTGTCCTCTATCATTAGTCTGGTCATCCCTCGTGTATGTGTTTTCCTCAAAATAGTGTTGGGAAAGGTCCTGAACAGGACAGGTCTTTTGTTGTGATATAGCCTTGGAGCTTATGTTCTTTTCCTATTGTGTGTTGCTAGTGTGCATACGCCCTTGTTTGTGTTTCTGCGATCCCACTGCTGGGTGTGGGACTACACCATTATCATAATTATATATGATTCTAAAAATCCAGCTTGCTGCCTCGTAGTGTCTGTACCATATGCAAACCAGAAATTCACCTTTTGTCAATTAGTAATTGCTTCCTATACAACAGAAATTCCTCCTGAGGCAAAACTTCCACAATACCGCTAAATGCCTTAAAAAGCACAATATGAACTGGCATGTTCACTGTTGTGCTAGAATGACAGCTGTAGGCGGTGGCAAAGTCTACATTAAAATACCCTTTTTTTTAGTGTAGGATTTACATGTCTGTATTTTTTTCTTCTACTGAATTTTGAGAAATTACTTGTCTCTTACCTGTGTATAGGAGTTGTACATTCTCCTGAAAAGAGAAGCAAGAAAGAAATGAGTGGAAACAAATTTTGTAAAGCACCAACCTTGTATAAGAGGATAAACACATTTCATAACACGACTTCTGTAGTTTTCTTTTAGTTTTCTCAATGATTCTCCTGTTTTACAAGCAAGGGAATCAGATCAGACAGACAGACAGACCTCTTTTGACTTGGGTAAGCTTGGGGAATCACCGTACAATTGCTATTGCCTAAAAGTATGCACAGGGGCAGGCACCCTGGGTCAGCGGAGGCCTGGTGATTTATGAAGTTTCGATCTTGGTCATGTAACTTAGGAAGCATGTCAACAAATTCTGAAGAAATAATACAGGGTTTCTCTTACTTCTCCCAAAAGAGTCCTCGTGGTGAAATTTACTTCATTAATGTCATGGAAGAGAGGCATGCACATGCCTGGGGAGTCCCAGTGTAATTTAAATGGAACAAAGTTCCTTGCATGAAGCTGAGTTTTTTGTGATCTAAGCAACAATACTTACATAAGAAGCCTCTATCGTGGAGGCCTCTGTTTTCTCCTTCCTAGTAAGACCCTTCCATTTTCTCCTGTCTGAAACAAAAAAGCATTTTTAAAATCCAGATCAGAGTATATCTCTCCTCTGAACTCCAAGAATATAAAATTACATTGAGTAAGCAGCTGAATATCTTATTCAGAGTATGACAGGAATAAGGAATAGGGAATCACTTACACCAGAATATTACTCCAGCTGCTAGTAGTGATAACACAGCTATCAAAGCAATGGGCCACCATAGCACTCCTGTTTCTGTTGGAACATTGGAAACATTACATGAAAGTTAAGTTGAGAAATGCAATACAGCAACACGCTCTGAATTTTAAACAAGATTGCGTCAGATTATAAAAGCCTTTCTGCTGTCTCCTAATGGCAGAAGCTACTTCTTTGTTAAAGTCCTACCTGTCATGAGCCCCTAAAAAGCAGTAATAGCTCCTACAACTGCACAGTGATCAAGTGAAAAGAGCAATCATGCTCTGCAGGTCAGTACAGGGCCCAGTAGATAAGATGCCTTTAGCTGTCAGGAATCACTATGGGCTGTTGTGTAGAACAGTACTATTGCAATAGCCTCTCAAAATACAGCAGATGCTAGACTATGCTAGGTTTTAAAATGGTACCTTTCATTCTGCACACAGTGTCTGAAGTTGAAGTACATTGTTTTTCAATTACGCCACCTTCACATCTGCAGAAAATATGAACAAAAATTATTACGGGATTTGTTTTTTTCTCTTTATAAACTCTGTCAACAGAGCAAATAAAAATCTTCTAACACTTTTTATCAGCTAAATACTTCATATATCAAGATGTTGGAGTTTGGAATTTAATAGGTATGAAAATGGTATGGAAAGGTATGGGAGTGAAAAAAGGTGTGGAAATGACTTTCTAGATGTAACAGTAGATCACACAAAGACAACAGAAAAGCTCAGATACTTAATGACGTTTTTTGAAAAGTATATACAGACTTAGTGGATGTATACAAGTTTTTCTGTGTGCCTTTGGAAAGCCCGCATGGATGCAAGTTAAGTTGACTGAGCTAAGTCAGCTCAATAAGCTAAGCGCAAATGAAAACTAGTACGTTTTCCCTCAGGTTATACATTACCTTAGCCTCTGTCTTGAAACTGACTGGAAAAAAGTGTGATAACATATGATATTAACAATTTCATATTTAACGATGAAGGCATAAACTTACGTGCTACATCGATCACAGTGCCCACATGGTATAGAAGAATTGCAAAAATGGTTCTTCGCACAGGTACATTTCGTGTTCTTTGTTGGGGTACAGTTCTTTGCAACCTCCAAACCTAAAATAAATTTCTTAAAGTTTATTAGTTTGAAAGAGCCAGGCCTCTGTGCACCAGCTCTTGTCCGCAGACTTGTGTGCTTTTATCTCTACCACTGCTGGCACTGGTGAGGCTTAATTGTAAGAACAACATAGCTTTTTTATAAGGAGCCCTGCTGCAGGAGCACTGGAAATATGGAGATGGCAAAGAGACCTCTGCTGGCCAAGAGCTCAAAAACCTGACCGCACGATAAAGTACTTGCTAGAAGAGGACTCATATGGCACGGCCAAATGTGGTCAGCTTCTTTTTCCCATTCAGAAGTGTAAAGCCGTAAGCAAACTCGGAAGATCACGTACCCCATCTCCCTGCTTGATGTCAGAGACAAGTTCTTTACTCTCCCTGACAGACAACAAGTTTCTCTCTTCTTGAGGACCTCCAATGGTGAGGAATTCCACTTTCTCTTTTGGGTAACATATTCCCTGCTTAAGTATCAAAACAAGTGAATTAATTTTCTCCTATCCTCAGTGCATATGATGAAGCTATATCTCCATCTATGAAAAATTATTTCTGCACGAAAAATTACTTTAAATATCTACCTACTTGTCCTGGTTTCAGCTGGGATAGAGTTAATTTTCTTCCTAGTAGCTGGTATAGTGCTGTGTTTTGGATTTACGATGAGAATAATGTTGATAATGTTCTGATGTTTTAGTTGTTGCTAAGTAGTTCTTACACTAGTCAAGGGCTTTTCAGCTTCCCATGCTCTGCGAGGTGCGCAAAAAGCTGGGAGGGGACACAGCCAGGACAGCTGACCCAGACTGGCCAAAGGGCTATTCTGTACCGTATGATGTCATGTTCAGTATATAAACTGGGGGAGTTGGCTGAGATGGGGGGACCACTGCTCAGGGACTGGCTGGGTGTCAGTCAGTAGGTGGTGAGCAATTGCACTGTGCGTCACTTGCTTTGTATATTATTATCACTACTACTATTTTACTTTTATTTTATTTCAATTATTAAACTGTTCTTATCTCAACCCATGAGTTTTCTCGCTTTTACCCTTCTGATTCTCTCCCCCATCCCACCAGGGGGGAGAGTGAGCAAGCGGCTGTGTGGTGCTTAGTTGCTGGCTGCGGTTAAACCGCGACACTACTATGAAAGCTACTTTCATAGGCATATAGGTATAAAAGGGGATTTTTGAGTTATCACATTCAGTGCCCTGCTGTAATGGGAAAACATGTTATCTTTCAAAATTTGATGAAGCTCTACTGTGAAACCAGTGTTGAAGCCATTCATGAAAATATCAAACATGAATGATCCTAATAATGGTTCTCATGGAACTTCAGTGGCAATTTTCCTCCTCCCTAATGTTTTCTACTGACTTCTCTTCAACTACATTATTGTCCATGGGATAATGGACTAGTCATCCTAGTAACCTTTCTTTCCCCTTCAGTTTAGCTAATAGTTTCCTTTGTGGCACTGTACAAAATGCTGAATTGTTTTGCTGTACTCCACTACCCATCCAAAAATGCTTATTATAGTAGCTAATGAGAGGAAAATTTTCTATGCATATGGAGGTGTTACAAGAAGGGGAAAGCACTAAAGATTGATATTCCAGCAGATGATCTGAGTACAACCATATTGGAGTTAAGAGCTGTCTCTCCGCTCACCAAACTCAATTTTGGATATGAGGAATGCAGAACTATGATTCCCTACATCCAGGTATACTAGAACTATAGGACACCTGGTAGAACTGGTAGGAGATCAGTTTAATGGATTAAAAAAAAAAAAAAAATCTACGATGGGTATTTATACAACAGGTAGTGAATTTCTGGAACCTGCTGTCCCTCAGCAGGTTCATGCACAAAGGGCTCATAAATGGATACTACAATGACTAGGTAGGGATGGACCTTCTAACGTCCTTTCCCGCAACTGTGGATGCTGGTAGACTTTGCAGGGAACAGACCACAGAAAGTAGACAGGTTTGTTTGTGTTTTTTTCTAAATAGCATCTCTTGCCTCCACTTCTGAATGCAGAATACTGGGGTAGGTGGACCACTGGTCTGACCCAGTAGGGCATGCCTCAGTCTCATAATTTGGTCCTATAACCCACACAGGATCTTGAATGTATAAGAGATATCACTCTATCAGCTCCAGCGATTTTAAATAATATTACTATTTACATGAAAGACTACAAAAGAAACCATTGGGAATTCTCTCATCCCTGCTTCTTACAACACCCCTCTTCTTCTAAATAGAGGGTGAAGAAGAGAGAGCGCTTTTCTTCCTTGACTCTAACCAGTTTGTACAGGGTCTGTTTTGCAAGGACTGCTTTGGCTGAGCAAAGACAGATATAAGGAGAAATAATGGACCGACATAGCTTGTTCTTCTTCCTACTTTGTGCCTGACGAAGGGGAACTGGGGGATAAACTTATGACTTACTTTGTCATAAATTCCTTCATGTACTACCACTAAAACATTTTAATCTGCATGCTACCCACTATTCAGGGATTGTGGAGACTTTTCAGTCAAATCCTGTATCAAAAAAGAGCCATTGCTAGAGTTGCAATTTCTATGGATGTACCTAATATCCTGTCACATGAAGAGCACCTCAAACATTTGTCCAAATCGTTGTCATGATCCATGTACTCTTTTCCATTTTTACATAGACTACAGTCTTTGTTAATATCTTTTGGGCAGACGGTTTTTTTAACAAAACCTGTAGAGACAGAAAAACAAGAATTAAGATTTGCAATACCTTTGGACAGAAGCCATCAGCTCTAAGACCTATGTCAGACTTTCTTTTTAATCCCCAATACTTTTTGATTTACAAGTATGGACAGAATCTATATTCTTTATGCATACATATATGCTCTTCAGGAATGTAGTATACATAAAATCTGATTATCCTCCCTCTTCCTTCAATTTAGGACTGAAGGAGAACACATCAAACAAAACTGTACATGCAAAATTGGAAAACCCATGAATATATGGATTCTCATAGGCAAAAGCCTGTGCTTGCACTTTTTTAACCTCTTTCAAAGATGTCTATGTAATTCTTAGCTGTTTTGTGACAAGCATGTTATGCGAGAACTACTATCTGTAGTGAAACGTTATTGGTGCACTGAGCTCAAGAAATCCTTTTGAGGTGTCTGATGTCCTGTAATAAAGATACAGCTAGAATGAAGTATTGCATCTAGGAAACCACAGGATGCCGCTTAGCTATCCCAGCAGAAAGCAATTGTACATGTTGTGGTTTCCACTCTTAATGACTTTTCAACACAGTCTTATAACGATACTCACCACGTTCACATTTCTTGCAACACTCATCATGTAAACTGTATTCATTCAGCTTACACTTAGTGTTCCTCTTAGCAATGATCCTCCTTGTAATTGATTTATTGTATGCTATGTGTATTAGAGCTTCAGTATCATTTTTGCACTGTGTTTCAATAATTAAGACAACCACCTAGGAGAGAAGAACAGCAAGTTATAAAAAAACCCGAACTGTCAAGGACTGTAGGTGTGTTTTACTACTAGCACAGAGTACATCAGTACCGTTACTCTATTGCTAAACATTGATATTCGCCCCCTCATTAAAGTTGTTCATTACTTCAGAAGAGCTAATGGGCAATGAGGGCACATATTAGATTTAATGCTGTCAATCCTACCACTACAAGTACTGATCGTTTGAACATCAATGCTTGAGAACAGGCCCATACATCCGAGTTGTAACAGATGGCCTCATATCCCTAATTATAGTGCAAAGCAAAGGAACTCCCATTATTTTCCTGAAGAGCTTTCTCTGCCTCAGATCACTGTGCCTAAATCTGCCCTTTCTTAGCCAGTACTAATAATCTTTCATAGAAAACTTCCTTAATAGAAATGATATTTCTTAATTTCTTGCCACCCTACTCTTGCTTGCAAACTGAACAGTGTTAATGCATCTGTGAAGAATAAAAAACCTGAATGTTTTAATCTCAGCCAAAAATACCAGATTTCTAAAATGATCTTGTTATCACTTTGTTTTCCAATTCAATTATTTTTCTCCTCAGCAGGTGATGCCTATATATTCCTGAAAGAAGTACCACTCTCCTTTCAAATTAATTTATACCCTGATCCAATTTGAATGCACTGTCAAGTGAAATTGCATAGTGCTTGGTTTTTTAATTTGTTTTCCTGTTACTAGTCAGTAGTAACTTTACTAGCCATCGCTGTCCTGCCTCTTTTCATGATGATAAGAAAGCACTGTAGACTAGAGGACAAGCCATTCTTTTTTTCTATTTTGGGAGTAAGGTGGGAAAATGAGAAGGATGGATCTGCTGTAGTTTGCCTTCCTCTTGGCAATGGTTTGTGTGGACTTCTGTATATAATTTGCATGCACCAAGTATGAGATGTCTATATAATGGAGCTACGTAATGCTTGTTGGCTAGAGAACCAGATTCCCTCCTAGAAATGTTATTATGAAGGACAGCCTGCCTTTACTTTATCCAGTTTCTGCTGATAGTTTGGAGTGATTTGAAGATTTTCACCATTTATTTTACTTGTATGTTACTATCTGTGTGGAGCTGTAACAGAAAAAATTAAGACAGTCCTTGTCTTGAAGCGTTTGAAGTCTCAACATCTAAGCTGAGATCTACATTCACTGTTCTTGCTCCTCTTTAATTAAAAAAAATAGTCTCGTATTTTACAAAAGACTCGGAGATATACACTGTGAGGGATACCGAGGAAGGGGGAAAAACAATGCCTGGGAAGAAATGGAGCAATGCTATTGTCCTTAGCAAAATGAAAGAACAGGCCAAGTTGTGAAGCAGAGGGACGGCAGGGTATCTTTTTCAGAAAGGAGATTAGTGGGGAATGAGGTGCAATACAACAAAACTGTCAAATCCTCGTACCAATGGCACACCGCGTGGACTAAAAGTCCTGCTGATCACAGATTCACTGGCATTTTAAATCAGCATGCAGAACACCTTGACTAGAATAATTTATTTTTCATTTTGTCTTGTGTATTTGAAAGAGGTTAATTCTGAATGGCTGGTTATCTTTGAACACTTTTGAATTGCAGCTTAATACAAATTTGACTGTATCTGCTAATGCCAACAACAAGGGACATATTTAAGGAATTCTCTAGTAATTTGAGGACTGGTTATTTTTATTGTTACACTTTTTTTTTTCCTGCCAGAGGGGAAATTTAATGGCTGGTTAATTCAATCTTCACGATTTTGTTGTGGAAATGCTTGGGCGCCGCCCGAAGGAATTCTCTAGTAATTTGAGGACTGGTTATTTTTATTGTTACACTTTTTTTTTCCTGCCAGAGGGTGACATTTAATGGCTGGTTAATTCAATCTTCACGATTTTGTGTGAAACTGCTTGGACGCTGACCGTAACTTTAGTTAGATGCAGAAAACTTTAATTATCTTAAATATTAACTTGCTGAAAAATGGGTTTGGATTTCAAACTGGGCTCTCAAGTGAAAGAAGTATTATCTGTGGCTAATTAATTGAAGTAACCAATATGAGCACTGTCTGCTGACTTCTACAAGTAGCCACTTCTTTTGATGCTCTAGTCTATTCAGAGATGGGAAGGTGAAAAGCATTTTCTTTCCTTAGCAGCCATCTGTTTTAAAATTTATATAATATTAGTTACTAGACTGAAATTAAGAAGGCCTTTCTTTGCACCTGGAGGAGAGAAGCTTCAGCTGCTAAAAGGCAGTTTAGCACTTGAGAAGCTGGGTACGCACGCTCAGCCCGTCACTTCCCTTGTTCGGCGCTCTGACTCTCTTCCTTTGCTGCCAAAGCTTTGAGGGTGCTCTTCTCTGAATCCCAGTGCAATGATGTTAAAAGGTTAACGTTAATGTAAGGCCTTAACAGAAGCTGTCAAATGGATGTGCCAAATCAGCGTGACTTGTTTTCCTTGCCTGGGAGAACCGTCTTACTAAAAACTGGGATAGAAAGTCCGATTAAAAAATAATTACTAAAGTGTAGTCAAGGACGTACGTCCAGTCTGGTTTGGCTTTCCCTGAAGCAAGGTGAAGCCCTGCCCCTCCATCGCTCCTCTGTTGCTCCTCTGCCACGTGTCAGACTGGGCCGAGGGAGGGGACGGCCACGGGACCACAGCGGGGGGACACGTGTTGCCTCGGCTCTCGGAGCTGGAGGATTGTGACACCCGGACTGGCCTGCCTGCCACGAGGCCTTGGCCTGCAGAAGGGTCCGGAAGCGAGGCAGTCGCCAGGGTGGGGAGGCCCTGAGACAGCACGATGGATCTTTGGCCGCCCCAGGAAAGCCGATGGCGCCAGAAGGCTTCCAGCCCTGAAGGCAGGTGGCGTGGCTTGGGTGCGTGGTGGGCCAACGCAAACGCCGCTTGCGGTGTGAGGAAATTGGTGGGGAAATGACTACTTCATCTCCCCGCGCCGACGGAGGAACTGTGACTCAGTGGGGCGAGCGAGGAGCGCGGCAACGGTGCTGCCGACCGCTCCCTGCTGTGCTCGAACACCGCAGCCGACGATGCTCTGATGAACCTGCCCCGGCTCGGCCGTGCTCACCCTGCCATGAGGGCCCCGCTCCCTCCTCCTCGCCTGCCCTCTCAGCCACACCTGGCGAAGCTCTGCACCCACAGGGACACCCTGCATCCTGCTGTCGGCACCCCGATCTCCCCTTTTCAGACCAGAGAAGTCAAGCCATTTTGGGGGGAGGGACAAGGGGGGAAGATCCTGGGCAACAGTAAAGAGAAGAGGGAGAGCGAAGGTTACCACAGCCCTAACGCACCCACAAACAGTACCTGGGCACAACAGAGAAACTGAAGGGCACTGATGAAGCACAGAGCACACAAAGAAAGAAAATGTCCAGAGTCGTGCAGAAAATGGGATATAATGAAAGAAGGAAACATCTTTCTAAATGACTAATATCAGTAAAACTTAGCTGATTTTTTTTTGTGTTTATTGAACGCCTACAATCACAGTGCGTGCACAGACGCAGCCTTCCCTCATGCTAACAAGCCCCTCCGCCTCTTGCTTATGTTTTTACACGAACAAGCTATGCTGATGCGGGGGGGGGGACACAGAAATATAGCACCTTCTGATGGAAGCCCTCCCGTGTCGCTCACGGAGATGAACTTCCTGGTACACTTACAAGAAGTGGGGATCACTTCTCAGAATTTTACGTTTCAACAGCACCAAACATCTACCTCGCTTCTGCTTGCAGGGACGTCTTACGCTGCCTTCCTGTACAAGGAATAATCAGAGAACTGTGGAGATTTTTCAAAGCAACGCCTTAATTTTTTCAAACTTTTTTTTCTCCTCCTGGATTTGCACCCTCTTAAAAGCAATTCATTTGCTATATAAAAATTTTAGTGTGTCTTATAGGAAAAAAAAGTCAATAGTCATTTAGCTTCCTGTGCACACCTCAGTTGCTTTCCCTGTTTGTCACTGAGCAGCAAGTGCTAGTAGTGGAAAGGAAGCACTTTAGGGGCTTTTACATAGTATGGGGTGATAGGTGCTTTTTTATGATGTGTACATTCAAACAGCGGCTGTATGTTTTCAGCCAAAAATGACTCACAGAGGCTCTCTTCTACCCTTCTTATCTTAACCTAAAAAAATAGTTGTCATATCTAAACTGAAGACTTAGATTGAATTAAGCAGTCAATGGGAATCAAATCAATCAATCAGGGATATCTAACGTTAGCAGAATCCATAAAAAATATCACGACCCCAAACTTTTTAGTTTCTCTCCTTTTGCATTGCTCAGACATTTAAGAGGGCTTTCTACCTCCTCCCTCTCCTTCACTCCTACAGAGTCCTCCAAAATGCTTTCACCAGCAGGCATCTGCTAAGCAGACTTATAAAACCTCTTTTCATTTGCGTTGCCAGGGCAGAGTGACAGGAACTTCAGTTTCTTTGAAAACTCGTGTCATTTTGGGATTCTCAGACCTCCGATTCTTCCTGTATCAGAGTATTCTTCATAATGGGTCAACTTCCTTCAACTGAAAAGCTTCAGCAGACCTACCTTATGGGGATGTCATCTCAGCTTTGGAAGTGTGTGAACATGTTATTTGCATACAGGACTTTTTAAAGCTTTATAACTTTTAACCCTGAGAAAAAAAATTGTCTCTGCTTTCTCCTGTTATCTTTATAATACATTTTAGTTTTAGCAAACCACTTCTCCCATTTCTAGTCCATAGATGCCTATGGATGAGGAGGCTGATGCCTTCAGAACTTGGTGGCCTTTTTTTTCCACTCCACATTTGTTACATGGGGCAACATGCATGAGATCATCAGGGGCTTTCTAAGTGTTAAAAAAGGGGGAAGGGGGGATTTTTCTTGCTTTTTTGCCTAGTGGGAGCTGAGAAAAACTTTAATTCATTTTCTGAGTTTTGATTTGCTTCTGGTACTTTTGACAAATGGTTGCTAGAGTTAGCTCCATTTTAATACAGTTTTCTATGTAATTAATCTCCCTTATATTAACCTTGTCAGGA